GGGAGGAGTGGTCAACAGAACTTAAGAAAAGTTACGAACGACCGCCACCTAACCTAGAGGCTACGCATCCGCAAGAAACGCACAGACAAGAGGTCGACGAACCTGTCACCGACCATAATGAACAACAGCAAGTAGTAGCAACCCCAACCTCTTGGAAAACTGGCAAGCAGGACGACGAATCGGACGACCAAATTACCCATACTCAGGCGTCAATCCCGTCCTACCGTGGAATGATTGCCCCAACCAGAGTAAATAATCAATCATTCAGAAACAACACAACATTTCCTGGCAGACCACCCATCGTCTGTTACCAATGCGGAAAATTTGGACATATAAAAAGGAACTGCAGAGGACGACCAAGGCAGTACCAAAATCCACCCCATGGCGCGCATGCTCATAGTCTCGCCGACTGGGAGCAAGCTGCTGAACGCCCATCATCTACAGTAAAGGACCAACACAAAACCGTCTCTTAAACTCTTCGAAACCATCAGGAGGTAGCAGGAACACATTTTCAAAAAAATCGCGCATGCTCTGTTTCCGTTGCGGGGAGCAGGAACATGTGATGGTGCAACACCAAACTTCTTCGTGTTGTACACGCAACTATGATAGTAACGAGTCTAAACAGGAAGCTGGACATCTTCTTTTCGCATCACCAAACCAGCCCTTAAAGTCATCAAGGACCGAACTCTTGGAAAAGGTTGAGGTCCGAGGTCGACCGGAGCCCAAGCATAATTAACTCAGCAACCGTCGAAGCTGGGGATATGCTATGGAAAAAAATCAGGACTACCATCTGCCGTTAATAACAGCACCACACGTACAAGGAATACAGCGACTTCAGGGACATTGTCAATCATATGGCTCAATGTTGTAATCAGATCTATGATATTGTAAAAGAAAAACACTAAGTTAAGAAGAGTGAAGAAAGAATTAATTAACGTATAAATCACCATGATATAACTATCAGAACAATAACTGATAACTCTGCAGAGTATTTTGCACTTCATCGCTATGCCAAAAAGCAGCGAAATTTTTAACGCCCTGTCAAAGAGAATAAAACTGCGAGAAAAAAAAAAAAACAAGTCTATCAAATTAACGACGTCGAAAAATAAATATGTAATACAGTTAAAAGTATTTACTCACTGAAGAAAAAAAAAGTCAAGAGATAACATGTAATAAATAGTAAGCAATAAATAATAAGTAAAAGAAATACATAATGAGGAAACAATTGATTGTGGAAAGAAGTTGATACAAGAGAAGAAATCAGAAAATCAGTTAGAACCTCCGGAGGTTGGAAACTATATTGAACCGGAGTTGAGGAGATCAAACGGAACCCTCATGTGCAAAAGGGTATGACCATACAAGAAGATCAATGTAGATGTGGTTCGTTTGGCTAAAACCTAGGAGTCAAACGATGTGTCACGACGCTACGGCGGGTTTGGCCAACTCGCCATTAGTTGTCACAAAACAACGCGGAAATGACCATACCATATATAACATACTCATCGCCCGGGTTCTTTGCGTGACTCCGAAAACCCTCCCGATCCGTATAGTTAATTTTCTGAATATCAAGATAAGGGTTCCCGAAAATAAAATCATGCGATTCTCCATTGAAACTACTGTAGAAAAAGAGCCTGAAGCCGTTGCCTCCATAAATGTACCTAATATTAAAACAGAAAAAAAAAAAAACAACGAAACAACAGAAAATAAAGAAATTTCACAACACCTAAGTAAATTATCTCAAGATCCGACTAGTTGAGAAGCCCTGCTGAAACATTCGTTACAAAACTCACCAACCACTCAGAAGCCCACACCAGCAATTCAACGAACCCCAATTCAAGTAAACACCGCATAGCATAAACTCCCGAAAGCTCCTGCTACGCTCCTAACCTGAACTAAACAGAACGAACAAGGAAACTACCGCTTTATTTAATATTTAGGATTAAAGATGCATTGGAAAACTTCGCTCCATAGGCTAACATAATAATTTAGTAAATAGAATAAAGTAATATAACCCAAAAATCGTCAGATAAGACGTGAATAGTCAATAATTTTACTCCACATATGGGGGCGAGCGAAATATGAATTCACCCCTAGACAAATATGTGAGGGTGTTCAAGGTGCATAGGTACTTAGACGAGTGGTATAAATGGCATTCATTACTTAAGTCGCTTTTTAAGATTTTGTCGAAATCTTAATCAACACCATCGCGATACACAGGGAACATGGCCCACCTATCAAGTTACTGGCCAGTTTTTCGACACGTTGACAATTTGGTCGCTATACAATCCCATAAACGACCAAGCTCATACCTGAATTTAAGTCAATCACCAATCACAATCATCGTTATAAATTTATCGAAATCTCCGTAATCCAATCAAAAAAGCTGGGGCAGAATAGTGCTTTAACTTAGGGCAGTGGAGACTGAAGTCGGGGAAGGCTAATCGCGGCAAATAAAACGCATTTGGCACACCACTAACCATGTCACAATATCGACATCAATGGAGTCTTAGTCCTCGTCCCGCCAAAGGACGATTAATCGTTACGACCATCACATGGGAATTCCCAGGGACTCCTGACGAAGAAATCTACGTTTTCTGGACAACATCCAATAATAAAACTAACAGCCATATTCGCCAAAAGGACAACTTTTAACTCTTGCTCATTTAGTGAGGGGACAACATCTCCTTATACCTACTCCAGCCGATCCACAGCGATACGGTCTATCGCACACTACGATTCACGCAGCTCACAAGGGGGTGGTGTGGGAAATACTCGTCGTGATCTTCAGCTCGTTGCTGTTAATCTACTCCTTTGTTTCATGTTCTATCCAATCGTTGGGCACTGAGTGCCAGATGGCGCCCACGGATGGCCATCACCAACACAACCAGGCCATCCACTCCGACGTACCTCGGATTCATATGGGGTCCCCCCAGGTGCAGCCCATTCACAAGAGCAGCTTCGTGGAACGACCCCCCATGGTTATGACATCCCAGTGCAGCCGCCCAGGCCTGTCACACTTCTTAGGCCACAACATGTAACATTGACTGATGATTACCACAAGACCATCAGGCAGCATCAGGTCACGACCCAGTCACAAACCAGCCACCCAGTAGACTTCCAGCACCACTGCTGTATTAAAACATATCCAACCGACTGATCGCGACTACAGAAAGTGAGTTATAATCATCCACGGACGAAGAGGACCCAGACCACGTCGAGGACGAACACTCACCGTCTCACCACACTATCCCTCGAGACGGAAGAGTACGGATTTACCAAACCCACAATCACCGTGTCCAGAAATGAGTAGCTTAGTGTTAGTATGATCTCGGCAACGAAAACTTGTGAGCCAACAGCGAGGATACGCACTTTAACTTTTACGCATTAACAAACTTTTCAAAAACAGTACCCTCACTGTTGGACCCTGTTGCTATAGTCTTATAGGTAATTATAAGTCTTGTGAGAAAATACGAGCACCTTGAGGCTCATATTTTCGTCTTAAAACGGGGAGTGTTGTGGTGAACCGGAATTTCAACCCTTAAAATAGCCCTACTGTGGCACATAGTATTTTTCCATAACGATTCTACTCTTCATTATCATGGGAACCAAAAGTCCGAACTTCCCAGTATTGTCAATTGAAATAATCTTCAAGGCAAGCGATCGCTTCCCATGGCCCCGCACAGTCACACTTCCTTCCAGGAATATTCGCCAAAATGCATTCCATGCCCAAATATGGAGAACATCTTCGCGCCCAATCAAATCACTCCAATTGCAATTAATATACAAAGTTGCATGGGAAACCTGGGGTCAAAACAAACACTTCCGATCAAGGTCAATAAGTCTGACGAATGCGTTATCATTCTGGGTGGTCCGATGCCAATTAATTATGGGAAATGCACTTTTACAAACACTCGCCGCCGTTTCCGGCGACAAAATTGCGAGAAATGCATTTTTTTGTTACATCTTCTTCGCTATTCCCACGCTTGAAAACCCTATAAAAACGTCTCGATTAGAAATAAAATTCAATTCGATTCCGATTCAGTCTCGCGTGCGGATGGGCCTGCTTCCTAGTCTAATCGTGATACCCAACTTCCGGCCGCTGTGCTAGTGGCAAGTGCGAAAGTGCATCTTCCAAGCCAACTTTCTTCAGCTGTTGCAGTGGCGCTTCGTCCCTTCCGATCTTCCACCGAGCCGCTAACTCGACGACATGTAAGTCCCACTGACCTAGTTACGGCATGCCCTATTCTGTCCTTGCGGAGACCGGGTTATTGGTCATTATCGGCATCTCGGAGTAATTTTAACGCATCATCATTATGAATCTCCCTCATCAAGTGATTGACTTTCCTTATCAAACCAGATTCCTTCTACTGTATTCGAGACCCCCGTGCCGTATCAGAGGAGTTTGCCCTATAGGGCACTGCCCACGTTTTTATCTCATTCACGCGTTCAATCCCGTGAACCAGCACTCCTCCGCCGTCAAGGAATACGTTCCCAACACTGGGAGCCCTATCCTTTAGAAAGGGTTGTAATTATATCACTTAACCCCCCCCCCCCCCCCCAAATATCGAGCCATGACCTAGGAAAGCGCCAACAACCCTCCAATTCTCATATATATTATAGTTTTAATAATACGTTAAAAAGGGAACATTGCACAACCCTACCCGTTTCTTTTAACTTAGTTTAATGTTTATGGTTACTGCCCGTTTATTATTATTTCTAATCATGCGCAATATTTTCTTAGTCTTAATTACCTACGAATAAGATGTACGAGCCCTAATCTTGTTCCGTCTCGTTTACTCGTTTAAACTGTAGCATTTGTTTATTAATAGATTACCTATGGAGCGAACCGCTTCGCGTTTCACTTACCCTTCTCGCGTCCCGAAACGGCCCTCACGGGCCAGGACCTAAGGGGCACCATTTTGTGACGCCCACCGGCCATAAAAACTCGGACATCAAAAATTAACATAAATTATAGAAAAGAGCCGGCAGGGCCACCACAGGTGCTCTCCTGCTTTATATCAATATTATTAGTTTGTGCATTTTGGGTAAGTACGTTGAACGCAACGAAGTTAGCTTTATATCTCTTTATATCATCATTCATTTCGAGTGTGAAGTTTTTATTATTACCTACGTACTCCAACGCAAGCTGACCACAATTTAAGTCAATAATAAACACAAATTTTGATGTAAAAATAACTTTAAGAACATAAAGTTTAGGTAAATAAATTTTTCACTATATGTATGTAGTATGTGGTTTCAACTGTACTCAATTGGCTCCTATCAACTTTACCAGAGTATTGCGGCAAGCTCGTCCCAACAGGTGAGATAACTTTATAAAATCAGTATTACCATTAAATGGAACCTGCCTATTTAGTTGCACCCTCCCACCACACCCAGAATTTGGTCGATGGACCATTTACGACGGCCCATTTCAAAAGTCCCCTGGAGAATCGGTGCCGTCACGGACAATTCTAGAAGTGAGTTGTGACAGAAATCATAAACTTGATGCATATGAAATTATTAGCTGCGTTCGAGGAGTGTGGAGACCCGAAATTGGGAAATGTTTACGTAAGAATCCCACAATTAATAATAATAACTTTCATCGAAAAAACATTATTTAGGGACGTGCTCGACCATCAACAGTACTTCGATTATGACGGTGACTTGCACCCTGAAAGAGCAAACGTTAAAATCTTGTGCTCACCCTTTTGACGGGACGGTCGCAAGGTTTCAGTGTGCTCGCTATTTTGAAAATCAGGGCCAAGAAAAAGATCCTTTTCGCTTATGTTCAAACGGACAATGGTCTGGTAGCTTACCAACCTGTGTACCACGTAAGTTTGTAAAACAACCCTCCGTTAACAAGCAGAAGCACCCCACATAAGCTAATTTCCACTTTTCCTGAAAGCAAGCAAAATAAGGTATACGCACCACTTACAATTCTCCGTCTATTGTTTTCTTCTGGTTTTTAACCACTGTTATCCCTTTTTACTAGTAGATGTAACTTTAAATTAGATGTAAAAGTTGCCGCTGGTCTTCAATACGAAAGATGTATTAAAGCATTTAGTATGGTGCTGACCACGAATTTATACTGATGTTCAGTTGCAACCAAACTGTCAGGTAATTATTAATCTTTTAAACCTTTGACAAAACTTTCAGGATGTGGACAACCGTTACGCAAAAAAGAACCCACACTTATTGTTGGCGGAAATCAAACAGAAAAACGAGAGTACCCTTGGCAGGTTGCATTATATATTGCGTCCACTAAAGAACTAAGCTGTGGAGGAACTTTACTAAACCAGAGAGTAATCTTAACAGGTAGCTTTTCATTGCAGTAACAAAATAAATTAGGCAGACAATAAATTTTCAGCGGCACATTGTATAACAGATATTAACGGCAAACTGCTACCAAAAGAACGCTACATAGTTGCCGTTGGTAAATATTTTCGCCAATATGATCATCCCGATGATAAAGATGCACAGTTTTCTCCTGTACGTTTTGCCCAACATCCGAAACATTCTGACAGTTTATCTTTTTTTCGCTTTCAGGTCTACGACATGTATATCCCCCGACAATACAAAGCACACATTCAGCATTACTTTGGCGACGTTGGTATTATCGTTACGATGAAAATTTTTAACATTTCTGCCAACGTTCGACCTATATGTGTTATGTGGGACTCAAAGCGATACCAAGTGTTGGCAGATCCTAGTAGACAGAAATACGCTTACGTAATCTTTCTAGTTTATGTCAATTATAGCACTTTAAATCTCGATTTTTTGTAGATCAGCGGCTGGGGTTACACTTTAGAGCACAAAGATCTTTCTGACGTTCTTAGATACTTAAAAGTTCCACTTAAAAGCGACGACGATTGCAACGAGAACTTAACCGACGACGTCATCGAATATATGACCGATGATAAGTTGTGTGCAGGCTTTTTAAATTCTAGTAAACCTTTTTGCTCATTTGGGATTATAAACGATGTTGAAATTTTAGGTACTTCTGTATGTCAAGGTGACAGCGGTGGAGGTCTAGTTGCCAGATACAAGAAACGCTATTATATCATCGGAATTGTCAGTGTTTCACCCCGAGGAGAGTCGGCATCTGGTGGCTGCAACAGTCAGACATACACTCTCTACACCAGGTTTTCATACTACATTGAAAACTTCATATTGGAAAAGGAAGCTCGGTTTAGACCGTGAGTTTTAAAATTTCATTTCAGAAGTTCAGCAGCGATGGTTGTTTGTTCCTAATTCTTTAAAACAAAACGTTTAACACTGAAGAGTCCTTGGCAATAAAAGTAAGCTTGTGCACTCGTATAGCATAACATAATTTAAACAATTTTTTTTTTCATTCGCAATGCAATTATCTAGACTTTGATCTCGTTAGTTAGTAGTTAAATTTGGCGTCCTGTACTGCGAGTATTGGTACCTTATCTATACTCTTCTGGTTAACTATCTCTCACATGATTCTTTCCCATCAAGCTATCTTATGGTTAAAATTTTAATGTTGTTTTGATTTTTTTAATAAGACAATAATATTAACAATAGAAAAACTGTTGTCCCCTTCTGTAGCAAAATTTATTTAAATAATTTAAACGGTTTTTCTTTTTATATTGGTAATGTGGGTAACTGTGGTTTAAATAATCTCACGAGTTTTATGACGTTACGTTTTTTAAAAACACTCTTTACTACCCATTGTGGGTACGTTACGCACACTCTTCTTACTGGTCATCTCAGATAAGATCTACTTTTTTTCCTTAAAGTTACTCTATCGGTAACATTTTAAAATGCATCCGATACTATCAAATTTAGGCGCTTGGATTGTCAAGATCCTCTTAATTGTGACGACGCTATTCCACCGGTTACGTCTACCCCACCGACAGATCAGACAACAGAAATTACAACAGAATCGTCTGGGAGGTAAAGTAAGCGGATGTAAAAAACTCTTTTTATGATAAAAAAAAAAACTTGACTAGTCGCTGCATTTTACCCACTCATCCCGAATCTGGAAAATGGAGTATCCTTGGAGCAACTAGGAAACTTTCACCTGGAGCGCCAGTAACATCAGGAACCGTTTTAAAACTCGAATGTAGCGAAGGTTTTAGGATGGATGGTCAAAATTTAATATATTGTGACAAAAATAACAAGTGGACAGGTGAACTTGGTCGATGCTTGAGTATACCATCAGCTGATCAACGAAGTTTTGTTGTTTTCATGTTAAGTTTCTAGAAACTTGTCCAATACGAGTAAGTACTTCAACTATGCAAGTTACATGCGTCTACAGGGACAAAGAAACTGAAAACTGTACTGAATCAGTTGATGGTACTATTGCTAAAATTCGCTGTGCTCCGTTTTACGAAGATTTACAGTTAGAGAGAACACCCCTACATATTTGCGACAATGGTACGTGGAGCCAGCGACTTCCGCAGTGTGAACCAAGTAAGTGTTGCATCTGCACTTGAAACAATTTATGAATCGAAATGGAAATCATCTATCGAAAGAGAAAAACGCCCTTTAATAAAGTTAAGGAGTGTTGTATTTCTGCATATCTAATAATAAAATCATAAACGAAAAATGCATGATAACAACATTCGAAATGGACAAATATTGGTCGAATCAAAATTAACAACGATCTGAAGTGTATCAAACGTGTATTAAACTTTTCGTAATCTGAAGTTGCTGGTATTGTTTACATTGTTATCAAATAGCTTGATTATTTACGTCTTTAGAACATATTTAAGATTTTACCTTTGCTCTTTTTGATACGATTAACACTTTTTGGGATCTTTATGGTATTAGAGTTTTCTGATTTCATTTGTTGGCATTTTCTGGTAACTGTAAAATATTTCAAAACGTCATTTTCTAACATTTTTCGTCTTGTTCTGTTTTTGTCCATAAAATTAAATATTCGAAGCCAACTTGTTTTGATTTCTTATCAATATGTGGTCACAGTTTGTCACAGATTGTAGCCAATTTCGTTCATAAAAATGTAAAATCAAACCGACCGGAACTTATTCTGATAACTGTTTTGACTACAGTTTGTGGCCAAAAAGTCGTGGATGCTACTCAGTTAATTGTAAACGGAACTAACGTGGTCAAAGGAGATTACCCGTGGCAGGTGGCTTTGTATAGCAAAATGCACAATAATTTACTTATATGTAGTGGATCACTAATAAGTCCAAGAATCGTGCTTACAGGTATGTTGAATTTATTCATTAGTATCCGCTACATATTTTATAATTGCAGCCGCTCATTGCATCACGGACGAAAACGGAAAATTGCTTAATAAGGACAACTATGTCGTAGCTGTTGGAAAATATTACAGAAACTTTGACGACCCTCGAGATCGCAACGAAGCACAATTTTCAGAGGTACGTTGCTGTTTCGAATTTGGAAAACGTTTTCCTCGTATTAATTTTTCTTATTAGTTGGAAGCCATGTTTGTTGCCGAACCTTATAGAGGCGTAATTCAGAATTACTTGGGTGATTTGGCTATATTAGTGTCCAAAAAAGCTTTTACCCTTTCACGAAGAGTTCAGCCTGTGTGCTTAGACGTAAGTCAAAATTACAATCTAGCTGCAGGCAAAGTGGGTTACGTAAGTTAGATAACGATCTTTAATGTTAAAGCTACATTATTCGTACTTTTTATATACGTAGGTGACTGGATGGGGTTTCACTGTTGAAAACCGAATTCCTTCAGATGTTCTGAAAGAACTAAAAGTTCCTTCGGTTTCTATATCAGAATGTCGAACTAATTTACCCGACGACTTCGAGATCTATCTTACATTTGACAAAATTTGTGCTGGATATTTTGCAAAGGGTAAGTTCGAGACGGTGATAAAATAACAGTATGCTGAAATATTGTCGTTACTTCAGGAGTGTCAATATGCAAGGGCGATAGTGGCGGAGGTTTAGTGTTTAAACAAAGTGGTAGATATTATCTTATTGCAGTAACCAGTCTTGTGCCTAGTCTTCATGATGACGTCGGAGGCTGTGATAGTCAGAACTATGGTCTCTACACTAAAGTTTCAAGTTATATTAATTCTTTTATTTTGTCAAAACTGGCTGAATATAAGAGCTAAGTTTTACATATCACTTCCTATACAATAACTTAAAATAAATATTTATTTTATAATATATTCTAACAAGTCAGTTAGTTTTTATTAGCTTTACTTATTTCGTGACCTTACCAATTTTGACGTCATCTACAAAAATACCCATTTTTCTTTGGGGAAAACCTATAGTCTAAACTACAGGAAAAAAAATTCTCACTCTGACTTAATATAAAACTAACACTAGTGTTAGAAAAAACGGCAACAGATAAAGAACATACCGTAGGTATCTTAGGGAGGGTTAATGTGGATCCTCATATTTTCATCAGGCAAATACACAAATAATTTTAAAAAAGGTTTAATATGATTACACAATTCATTTACATCAAGCTTTAGCACTACCAGAAAACTGACTTGCTTGGCTAACGGAGGCATGTGAAGAGGGTAAGTAAATTTTACGGAGATGAAACTCGTTTTAATAATAAGAGAATTGTGAAACGACATAACTGCCATTACTGGGCTTCAGAAAATCTTCATTGGCTAAGAGAAACTAATTTGCAATTTCAACACATTTGGGGTATCAATGTTTATTGTGGAATAATGAATAGTCAAATTATCAGGTCTAAATTTGACGAAGGAAACCTAAATTCGCTAATTCATTTGGAATTTCTTGTAAACCAACTTCCTGTGTTATTAGATGATCTTCCACTCGTCGTGATAGCAAGAACGTATTTCCAGCAAGATGGTGCACCACCATATAACGCACGAAGAATAACAGATTATTTGAATTATACATTTCCTCATAGATGGTTGGCAAAAATGGACCAATTCGGTGGCCTGCCAGAGCTCAAGATCTAACACCTCTCGATTTTTTTGGTGGGGCTATTTAAAAGATAGGGTGCATCAGCAACCTCCAAGAGACTTAGAAGACATTTAATTAAAGAATTAGGGTAGAAAGTGATTAACCCAGAAATGTTCCAAGTAGTAACAAGTAGGGGTCTACTTCATCGAGCAGAATGTTGATTAGAGCCAGAAGGTCGTCAATTTGAACATTTAATTTAAAGGTATTGTATTTTATATCGTTTGATTTTGTTTTAAACTTGGATTTTATTAAAATACTTAAATTAAATTAAGTTGCGCACGAGCGTTTTCAATTTTTTTTTTTTTAAGGACCTTTAAAACATTCAAGTATCATATGGTATATTTTTGAAAAGATAAAGACGGGCACTATTTAAAGCATTGAAAAATTATACCCTTTTGTATTAAAAAAAGAAAATTGATGTCATGGCCGGCGAAACTGAAACTAATACGACACCAGTAATCGATTCATTTAATAGATCGTGTTACATATATTGAACATGCCAAATTTCAATTTTTGATGTTTTAAAATAATTGAGATATTTGTGTGGAATATACATATTGTTACGAAATGGGTCTTCTAGTATGTGCGCGTTTCTTCTCGTATGTAGTATGACTCATCGGCCGTGCGGATGCAAGCGGATGTCGTGACGGGCCCAGCAAAAAATGAAACGCTATGACACTTTTTTTCACGCTTCTAGTGCGATGAAATAAACGTATCCTTTATGAACAAAAATTAATAAAAAATGTTACACTTTTTTACGTTCGTTAAAAAAAGCGGTTCATTTTTTCACGCATTTGAGTGAAAAAAAGTGTCGTAGTGTGTCATTTTTTAACGGAAGTAAAACATAGATGCCTGCCGTTACTATGATAATTCATCAACACAAGTGGTTTGTATTAATTTTCTCGGTGTGTTGTGGTAATTTGTGTGTTCGGACAATCGAATCGGACAGCGATGAAGATTTCTCGTACAGCCGAAAAAATTGCCAAGACGGCAAATACGGCTACATTTAAAATCTATGTTCCAAAATAAAAAGTTTTTGAAGTTGGTGGATGTTGAGTTTTGTTACGAACGTGAAAAAAATTTTGTATGCGACTCGTGAGTAAAGTGGCTTTTTTTAAAAAAAAGATACACTTTACTCACTAGTTGCATAAATAACTATTAAAGCCGCTGGCTCGCGACGGCTGAAATGTCGGACTTTCGACAGATTGATTGAGTTGATTAATATCACGGTTTAATGACGTTTGGAAAAAAAAATGTTTACCGGTTTATTATTTTTAAAAAATAAAAGTTTACATATTTTTCTTCCAATTAACTGAGTTAATTTTATTTTTACCTGAAAAATAAACAAACAAAAAATCTCGCCCTGACATCTATTTTGTTCATGTGTTATCCATTCCATCTGTTCATGATACATAACCTTGGCGCAAAAAAAAACAAATTTACACAAGATAGATTTTTAGTTTATCCGTATTTTCGTTTGACAGTTTTCTACGTACCACTTTTATATGTCCAGCGACTGAACATAAGTTTTTTTTTTGTATTATAAATCTTCTTTCACAACAAGCAAAAAACTTCTTAGGTAATATGTGCTAACTAATTATTATAATCATTTAAAATTTTAAATGGCAAAATAAAGCCGTGTTTAGAAATTGATGATGAATTTGCGTTACTACTGGAATTTCCACTCGGATTAAAATTCTTCTGGGAAAACCAAATAAACGAAACAGCAAGAATGATCTTCAAAAATAAAAATGGGTAATCTGTAATACATGTTTGACCTTTTGTCCAGGTTATCGACGTATTAAAGAAAAAAGCCGTTAACTTGATATTATTAATGCAAAATATTTCATGTTTACTATATAAAATTTGTGCCCACAATATGTGTGGTGTTCTTTCGTTCCTAATCAAAATTATTAGTTTGTTTATTTTAGGTAAGTACCTTGACTGTTATGCCTTAGCTTTAAGCACAGTTGTAGGAGAGATAGGTTAATAAGCTAGTGGCTGGTAGGGGTGGGGAGTATTTGACGGAACAGGTATTTCGGAACTGTTACCAACGTGGAACAGGAACAAGTTGTTATCGAAGATTCGAAATAACAGTTATTCGGGATAAATCTGTTCCTTTAAAATAAAAGTCCGCAAAACTGGTTTTATAAGTGAAACTAGCGATTTGCGATGATAAATTTAAATATATAATATAATTCCGAAAGCACATCGTTTTTTTCGGAATTTGAATACAATAAATAATAATACATATAAGCAGAAAGGTAAAAAATAGAGAATTATTTGGAATAAAGAATTTTATTTAATAAAGGCACTGTTGTAATTGGATGCAGTGATACAACATATTCAAGATTTAATATATTTTTTAATTTAGTTTTTTTTCCAATAAAATAGTAAACTAAGAAATTAGATAACAGCAACGAGAAACAACATATAGGAACGTCAATTTTCTCTTACAGGCTACGTTGGTTATAAATAAAAATTATTAAATCTTTATATTAAATCAAAAAAAATCTTAAGTAACAATTTCAGATTCCGAAGGCAAAATCCGAAGACCAAAATCGTAACGTAACGATAACGAGTACGTAAAGAACAAATAACAGTTTTATCTATAGCAGAGCCGCATAGTTGGTATACGGGATGAAAGTGTTCTTCCTAGGAAACGCAATAACAAATTGTTCCAGAATCACTGTTATTTGGAACTGTTCCTAAAATGGAACAGTAACAAATTGTTCCTGTTCCTCAAAAAAGTAACAGTTCCCCATCCCTAGTGGCTGGGGAACTGAGCTTGGCGACACTTCGTGACGGTCCATGGAAAGTAAGCGTAAATTTACCGCCTCTGCCGTGTAGTGTGGAAATTATTCTAGTTACTTTAAGGATTTTCGTTTACAGTGATTAACAATAATGGATGACATTTGATCGAAGTCGATAAGTACGATTTCTTTTACTATACTAATTATCTGGGTTGTAACATAACAGATGTCTATAGCATCTACAGTCCCTTGGTCCTCAGGCGACTCGATCGGCAATTAGCGTCGCTGACCTGACCTATATTATTTTTCAAAATTTAAGCAAATTTCAAGGTCGACAACTTACCAGTGTAGTTAGCGGAGATCACAACCCTCGCAAAACTGTAGGGTCGCGGACGTCACAGTAAACAACACGTTTTGTTGTACATCTGTATTGTACTCGTCTATAATATTGTAAACAAAAGAAAATGTAACTAAATAGTATGTTATATAACAGAAAACACAGAATTTACATTGCTTTCACTATCATGTTTCAACACTGCTGCTGTACATAGCAAGAGCAAGAGTCGTTTGCATTGAGGTCTTAATGCTGATTGTTGTTGACATTAAATGCCAAATGAAAAAGTGACAAGCTGACAAGTTATTAGAAAAAATCGGTTGTCTGTAAAGTCGGTTTACTGACGATAGTTGAACGTGACAACGTCTTAAGAAAATAATTTATTAAAATTTCTTAAATTTTGATTTTATTATTTTAATAATATAATTAAATTTTTTCAATAGTCACTTAATTATTTTTGCAAATTAAATTGTAATTTGTTATAAAAAAGTAATAATTTCAAATAATTCATTATAAGAATAAACAATGATTAAATTATTGTTTATAAATCTTACATTTAAAATTTAAAATTTGGAAACATTAAGATTTTCGTAAATCTAGTGTTTAAAAAGCCCGCCTCAATGTGTTTGATATAGGAGAAAATGTTCCCTTTGACGGCTGGCTGGTCCAACCTGTAATTTCAGACACGTTGTTGTGATATGTGGAAAATTTAATATTTATGTTTTAATTTTTTTAAATCATAGCTATGCTCGAAAATTATTTCGATTAAATAGTAAAGCCATCGATTTTTTACTCATCGTGAAATAGTTCTGTTAACTTATTGTTTTAATTTTATCGCGTTCTCGCTTGCACTTCAAGCCTTACATGGAACGCCTCAGAGCGAGGTAACGCCGCATGAGTCACATGGAACGCCTCAGAGCGAGGTAACGCCGCATGAGTCATGTTTTTTCGTGCGTGCAGCCGGCTCAATCGAATTATAAGACGTTGTCACGTCAAAAACATTCTGATTCAGAATCAGAATCAGAATCGAGAGAAAATATGATATCTTCATATGGTGCATTACCCCATTAAACGCTTCCAATCATCCCTGATCAGCCGTTCACAATGTCTAATAATATTTTGCCATTTGTCT